TTCAACTCCATTCAATAATTGATATAAATTCATACATTTTATCTAACCTGTATTTTTTTGAAAATTTCCAGAATTAGAAAGATTAATTTTAAGATGATAATTCATAATTTAATTCTTAATTAATGGCCAAATCAATTATCTATTTGCAAACGAACAAAATTTCCTTCCATTCTTGGAATAGTTCACCTTCCTATATTTTGTTAACAATTAGTTTATAATAATTCTGATAATTATTTTATCATTATCATATCTGATAATAATATAATAATGACTTGTGAAAAATTATTATAAACTAATTTCAAATTGTTTTAGTTAGCAAAATTTGGTTTTCTTTATCTTTTGTAAATGATGAAAAATTCAAATTAATTTCTTTCCTTTAATTTTATTTCAATCAATTTTAGATGTCAATAATATAACATTTTTTTCGTCGTTTCTCACAATTCTATGACACATTTTTTGTAAACATTACGTTGTAAACATATGCTATTACCTGTAAAGGTGTGCAAAATTTAATTTCGCCTTTTTAAATTTATTTCATTATTTTTACATCACGTAGTTATGTCTCAAATAGACTTATTGATCTCGTAATTTCATCTTTATTTAACATATGCCATTACCTGTAAAGGTATGCAAAATTTAATTTCGCCTTTTTAAATTTATTTTATTATTTTTACATCACATAATTATGTCTCAAATTGGCTTATTGATCTCGTAATTTCATCTTTATTTAACATATGCTATTACCTGTAAAGGTATGCAAAATTTAATTTCGCCTTTTAAAATTATTTCATTATTTTTACATCATATAGTTACATCTCAAATAGGTTTATTGATCTCGTGATTTTACCTTTATTTTTTAAGAAGAAGAAAGTTTTATAAAAAGAAATGCCTTTTCAAATCATATATTCAATTTATTAATAAATACTTTGGCGATATGTAAAAATCAATCATTACTTTTCTGTGTAAATTCTTAAAATGCAAATTTTTCAAAATTTTGATTTTTAATTTTTATTTTGAAAATTCGAAATATTTAATAGAAATTTGCAAAAGTATGCAATTTTATTGAATTCATAAATTTAGCATTAAAAATGGATTTGAAGAATTTTTTTAGATATTTATAAAATTTAATATTTTAAATTTAAAATTTACCTAAATATAAAATTCTTTTATTTTCTGCTTGCAGCATTTTCTTTTAAACTGAATAGCATATTTTACCATTGACGAATGAATTTGTCTTGAAAAAATTTAAATTAATGAATATATTAATGATACAGTTATATACATATATATGTACTTATAAACTGTATGATAGATCTTTTTGAAATTTTAGAATTCTAATAAGGTAATATTATTATTTATTAATTCAGGTTGTAATTAAGTAATTACGATATTTATATGTGAATTTTAACAAAAATGATAATTTAACTAATACTCAAAGTATCACTTGAAAAAACTTTATGAACTTGCAAAGGTATGAAAAGATATGCCTTAACAAATATTCAGGTTAAATTTAAGTAATTACGTTAAGTAATTATTATATTCAGTTATCTCTCAATATTGGAATTTTTTTTTTATAATTGATAATTAATTAATTTATTTTAATTCAGAAATACTTCGTTCATTATCTACAACTAGACAATCATTTCGACAACAGGAAGAATGTCATGCTGAATTAAAAGCATATGCTAAAACCCGGCAAAAAATGCATGAATTGGCTGTTAAGCAAAAACTTATCACTGAACAGGTCATTCCATTGTAGCATATTATTCTTCTACTAAAATTACTTAAGATAGAAGATTACTTAACCTTTTATATGCCTAACAGGTTCTTAGAATTGCTTATAGATCAATAAACAAAAGGAAAATAACCAAATTTATACCTGTCATTTAAACTGTTTTAATTTTATTTCAAAATTGCTTGATATTATTTTCAAAATTTTAATTCCTAAATTTAAATTTGCTTAGTTTGGATTTAACCAAAAAAATTTTTTAACTAATAAAAGTTTTACACGATGACAATAGCATTTCCTATTTTAATTTGTTAATTTTTTATTTTCAGGATCCGAAAAGTCATGGATTTCTACATTTATCGTATGAGGAAAAGCGTGCATTACTTCAGGAAGGCTACAAATTACCGACAATGTTACCATTAACACAATCTGAAGAGGATGCATTAAGACTTATCAGACGAAAAATTAAAAATAAGATTAGAAAACAATTCATTAATTTAGAAACAATAAAGTTTTTCTCCTAAATGTTTTTGTAAATACTTTTTACTTAATATTTATTCCTTACTAATTTTCTTCATTTTATATAAATTAATTAATTAGTAATTTTTTATTTTAGTTAAACATTTCATTCGTTAATTTTTCAATTAATATGAGATGGTGCTACGTTAAACTTTTCGCTTCTTTTATTAATTAATAATTTATTACTCATTTTTTGGTTGAAACTGATTGTTTTAATTAAATTTGTTTCTTTCATTTTAATTACATATATTTTATATTTCATATAAATTTATATAATTTTATCCATATATAATTTTATATATATTTTATATAACAGTTTTTCATAACGAATTCAAATAATTTATATCCATAATTGGGACAAAATTATATTCAATGAAAATTTATTATTATAGAAAAATTATTGGAAGATTATGCATAGACTTAGAGAAAACTCATTAATTAATTTTACCATTAATATTTCTTTTTTTAATTTCAAATTTTAATTTTTATCATTTTAAATTTTTATTCTTTCATAATTCTTTTTAAAAAGTATCAATAAAGTTGTGGAAATTTTCAGTTGTCTGCACAGGAAAGTCGTCGTAAACGAAAGGAATACATGAATGAACTTGAAAAGAGAATTCATTATTACCGCGCTGAAAATTCAACACTGAAATTAAAGGTTTTATGAACTTTTAATTTTTCACGAAATATTTTATTCAATCTTAAAATTCTGTATGCTCTGGTTAGCTTCAATTAGTTCTAATCTAAAATAAAGCGAAAAAAAATGATGTAAAAATTTCATTGCTATGAACGTCGAAAAGATAGCATGAATATTTTAGAGAAAACTAAATGCTAATTAAATTTACCGATAAAATTTCAGTAATTGGAATTATTAATGGTTAACATCTGATATACAATAAAATATAAAGCCTACGAATGTTATCAGATATATTTACACGTTAGATAAGTGATAATCATATTTGTATACCTCGGTTACAGTGATAATGTTTTTTATCAAAGTATCACTTGTGGAATTTTCAGTTAAAAGATTGCACTTTTGACAAGTGATAATCATATTTATATATCGGTTCAGATATATTTACACGTTAGACAATTGATAATCATATTTGTATATCACGGATAAGTGATAATATTTTTTCTCGAAGTATCACTTGTGGAATTTTCAGTTAAAAGATTTGGAACAAAGGAATCGTAGTTTAACTGTTGAATTGAGAAATTTCAAAGCAACAGCTGCATCAAATCATGCCACCGAATGTCATCCATCATGTCCAACGCCTAATGCTACAATGGTTAACTGATCGACAAGAATCTATTTCTATTTCATTTATTGTTTTTTGGTTAATTAAAATGAAATAATTTAACTCACATTTAACCAAAGAAAACTTTTCATAAAATACTACTATATATTATATATTTGTACGAAACTTTACTAATTATGCCAGCAAATATTTTTGTCAAAATATTATTTATCAAATTTTCAATTTCAAAAAGTATTCTCTTTATTAAAATTTAATTTCAATTAAACAATTAATTTAAAGAAAAAAGAAAATTTCAATTGTCTTTTTTTACTCCTTCATTATACAAACGTTTGTGCATGTGTAATATGTTCATCCAATATTATTATGTTAACTATTTATTTATTTTTTTCATACAGTTAGGATTATAAGATTAGAGATCACATAATTATAATTTTTGATTAGTTAAATTATAAATCATATTTTATAAATAATTAATGATCATATTTCTTTTTGATTATTTTGAATTATAAATTATGTGTTACTAAAAGAGCTATTTTAATACTTAATATGTTATTTGTTGCATTCATAAACTCTATTAGTTATTTTGAATTATAAATTGTGTGATACTAAAAGGGCTATTTTAATACTTAATATGTTATCTGTTGCAACTCAAAAACTCTATCGGTTATTTTGAATTATAAATTACGTGATACGGTATAATTAAATATAAAATTTAATAGTAAAATAAAAACTTATCAACAAAGTTTAGAAGTACCACAATATTATGTCTTAGTTTTACATTGGATAGAATAAATATCGAACCAGTTAGTTTATATGAAACTTTTGTTAAATAGCACGGGAAATTATTTCCTGATATCCATTCTTCTAAGAGATATAATTCATTAATTTTTATTTCAAATCATATTTTGGCAATAACAAAAGATTTGATAATTTGAACAAGTCAATTGTTTCATTTCGTTAATTACCCCTTCAAAAATATTCTTTAACATTCTTTTTTTACGAAAAATATATTTCAATGCATTTATTGAAATTTTTAAAATTAAAACAATAATAGAATTAATTAAAAATTATTATCACTTTAAAATAATTCGTTATTAATTTCGCTTTTTATAAATTACTATTCACCTTTGATTTATAAGTTTTGCTGAATAATAAAATTACTGTTGTATTCACATTAGAGGCGATTTTTTTAAATAAATGAAATTAATTAAACCTAATTATATAATAGCTGCTTACAATCAAAATTGATTAAATTAAATATTTAATTATAGTTAAAGTAAGTTGAATTCAATGTGATAGAAATGAATTTATTGTTTCATTTTTCATATTAGGGTAAAAAATTTGCTGTAAATGAAAGAGATCTTTTTTACTGCATAAATTAATTTTAGTTAATTAATTAATTAAGTATTAATGATTGGTTGAAAAAATGAAACATAAACTATGTCAGACTTTAATTAATCATACTAAAAAAAATTCCAATTAGTTAAAACACAACAAAAACTTCCGCTTTTCCATGTTTAGCACAATTTCATTAATTCCTCTTTAAAAAACCTTTTTCAGAATTAAATTTTAGTTTATTTATTTTTCATGTCCCCATGAGATCAAAGTTCACATCTACCTTGGCATTTTAATTATTATTATTTCACTCTCTCATCAAAATTAAATTTCCAATTTACCGATTTTTATGAATTTGCCAAAATATTTGTCAACATAGTTGCAGTAAGGTGAAAGCTAATAATCGCTTCAACATCTCTTTTTTGCACATTCTTTTAAAATTTAAACTTTCATTTTATATATTTTAAAATTTTTGCCAAAATGTTTGTCAGCGTAACAATGGATGAAAGTTGACAATCATTATGATTAGACGAGAGAAGTATGATTACTACTAGTTCATGATCACTGTCACCTGTTTGCTCGGATAATTACCTATACTAGATCTATTCAACATTCCATGTAATACTCGCATTACCAGCACTGTCACTATCATCAACATGCTACTTCCACTTTTCATCTTTCTATTTATTATTTTAAGGTAAGAATTTTTCAATAGTTCTTTTTGAATTTTTTCAAAATTTATTTTTTTAAAATATTACTGTAATACTGATTGCAATATTATCAATACTTATTAATTTTATAAAATTATATGGCAAGAATTGAAATTGCTGTCTAAACAATGCTATCATATTTTTAACTTCGAGTAATTTAATTAATACTACTCAAACTTCTAATTTAAAATTTCTCCATTCATTCTTCCCCGAATTTTACATCGAATAATTTAATTATTACAATCAAATTATTAATTAAAAATTTCTCCATTCATTCTTACCAGAATTTTACCTCGAACAGTTTCATTAATACTACTTAAACTTCTAATTAAAAATTTCTCCATTCATTCTTGCCAGAATTTTACCTCGAACAATTTAATTATTACTAATTAAACTTTTAATTAAAATTTCTCCATCCATTCTTGACAGAATTTTTTTTACTCTAAAATTTCCTCAGTAATAATTTAGGAAATTTCAATAATTTTTCAAAAAATTTTCATAGCAAATGTTTGCTTTGAAAAATTCGGAATTTGTTTTTAAAGAAATCTTAATTAATTAACTCAAAAAGAAAAGAAATTGCATTAAAAGAAAACGCTTTTTGTTAATTAATATTTCATTTGTTGTTGACTTTTCAATCGTTAATAGAAAACTTATTCTATTAAAAATTATTAGAAATAATTAACATTTAACTGAAAATATATTTAGCGAAGTAGTTGAAATATTTATGTTGAAGGATTGATTCAATAAAATATCGATCATTTGAAATTACTAAATTAATTTTCAACAGATAGTGAAAATCGATTGGAATATTTCCTTTGTTTCTGCAAAAATAAAATAGTGAATTTCAGGAAGATCAAAAACGTTACTGAATATTTGAAAATTAAATTTTAACAATAATTATTAAAATTTCAAATCAGAAATAATTGTTATAGTAAACAGCAAAAAAATCAATTAGAATAATTTATTGTTTTAATTAAAATAGCAAATTTTTATATAATGATACCTTTACAAAAGTAAAATGAAATTGAGAATAAGTAATAGAAAATCATATCATATCATTTCGATATTAAAAACCGGAATTTCGATTTTTTTTAATCCATTTCCGGAAAATTTATCGAAAATATTTTTTTAAAATAAGTTTTATTGAACCTTTCATATTCATTTTATAAACATATCTTTTGTATTCTCTTCTCCAAGAAACATTTAACACAAATTTAACTGTTAATGGATTATTAAAGCATATTTAACATTATAAATTAATATTGGCGTTCTTCTTTGATATGTATACGATTACAGCTCTGGCTATTTTCAAGCAATAAACAATAATAATTTACCATATCCTTTGCTTACCGGATACGGAATGGATATGTGCCGTTATATGTCATGTCCATATGGTCAACAATGCTTGAACGGTTCGTAACAATTTGCTTTTTAATTTATTTTCTACAATTAAACTTTATCACTTAGCAAATTTTTCGAGTTGAAAGGTTAATTAGTGAAGCAATTAAAAAATTGACAGAAATTTTAATTTAGGAAATTTTAAAATAGAAGAAAAGCTCAACGTAGTGTATAGATAAATATTATAAAAAATTTTTCTTTCATTTCTCAAAAGCCTAAATGAGTTGTAAGCGACTGTTCATATCGTAACTTTAACATATAAATTATATATTACTATGCTAATATGCTAATGTTAATATTATTGGTACTAATATGTTAATTAATTAATTATAGTGAATTAATATTATACTTCTAGTAACATTGTGTTAATGTTAATGTATCAATATACATATATATTAAGGAGAATGTTTGAGTAATACACCTCTTCTTACTACTACAATTACAATTCCAAACAATTTCAATTCTTTTCCGATCAATCCGAACACTTATCCCGGATATATAAATCCATCGTTAACAACAAATTCGTGGATTACCGGTCAAGGAGGATTTATGTTTAATATGAATAGACGATGTTTGTTTTATTTTGTTGAAAATTAATGTTGAATATTTGTTTAATCGATATATCATATGTTGTGTATTTAAGAAAAAATTCTTTTCCTATTGAATAATATTATATTATTGAGAAATTAATATTCTTATTAAGAAAAATTTCTTACTTTTAAAATAACATTTAAAATAACAAATAACATTTTTGCTAATTATAAAATCCTAAAAATTTTCCATTGCTTTTTGTTTAAATAATTTATTACTTTCGTTATCATTTATCATTGCTATTGTAATTATATTTCTTCGATTTATTGATATCATAAAGAAGTATAAAATGATAAATTATAACATATACTTATTAATTAGAAGTCTATAATTAATTAATAATATTTTAAAAAATAAACAAAATTAATCATTTATCATTGCTATTGTAATTATATTTCTTCGATTTATTGATATCATAACGAAGTATAAAATGATAAATGATAACATATACTTATTAATTAGAAGTCTGTAATTAATTAATGATATTTTTAAAAATGAATGAAATTAGAAATTTTGAATTATTTAAATAGTAATGTTTGATTTTTCAATCATAAATGTTACTATAAATTCCGGTCCTTAAATGTTGTAAATATCGTTGTACTTGTGCAATAATAATATTCACCCAATTTATGCATTGCATATCTGTTGCAGTATGCCCAACTAATGCTAATTGCTACGGTGGTCAAACATGTTTGCATAATGGATGTTATTATGGTACAACAGCATATAACACTGGTTATATCGTATTTGATAATTATTTAAAATCTAAAATTATTTATGTATAAATTTTTTAATACGCATCATAATTAATTAGTAATTAATTAGGCGTATCAGATATTTGAAAATTGCATTATTATTACTATTGTTACTATTTATTACTATTATCTTTAGTATGTGAATCAATAATTGTAAATTATTTATCACAAAAAAATCTGAAACTTTTATTGAGAGTAAGAAAATTGAAGAATATTTTAGGGACACAATCATGTAGCTCAACGGAACAATGTCCCGGTGATCAATTATGTATCAATAATTTTTGCTTACCAAGTAATATCGCAGAACTTGGAACTCAAAATCAACCAATGCTTATAGGTATGCAATATTAATTCTTATTAAATGTCAAAAAACAAATGGAATTTTAATTTGAAATGAAATCTTAAAAAAAATTTAAAAAAATTTCTGCTATATTAAATTTTAAATCTCAAAATTACGATAAAGTTGAGCAATTGTTATAATAAAATTAAATTTTATAATATATTAAACAATTAAAAATTAGCTAAACAATTAAAAATTAAATTAAAAAAAGTTTAATTATAGTTTTGGTTTTGCTAAACAATTAAAAATTAAATTAAAAAAAGTTTAATTATAGTTTTGGTTTTGTTTTTCTAATTTTTAGCCTGCTCAACTGGTGCACCATGTCCTGTAGGCTATTATTGTGTTAATGGATTTTGTGTTCGAAATGCTCTAACATCAACTTTTGGTAATTTTATGATCTTCTACTTTATTTCTATTCTATTCTACTTTTTACTCTGCTTCTACTTCATTCTACTTCTACTAATTAAACCTTCTTCTACTTTATTCTTTCTTCCTTATAAACTTTAATTACAAAACTTCGATTACGATAAGTAAAATTTATAAGACATAGAAGATTTTTTGCATTAACAATCAATTTTACATCAGATCTCAACAGGTTAAAGTCATCAGTGCTATGAAAGTCAGCTTGCTTTCTAATTAATCTCTTAAAAATCTTTTTACTATTAATTATTAAAATATTCCACTTCATTTACGACTGATTATACTTCATTTAAAGTAAATCATAAGTTCCATATTATCATATGAATTTACTTTAAAGACATAAAGACATCTTAGGTTGTTCTTCAATAATTATTTTTTCATTTTTTTATTACCACGGATAACTAATTAATGTAACCAATTAATTTAATAATTTTACTTCATTAATAAAAATCTTATTTCAACTATTATTAAATTGTTTGAAGAAAAAACATTTGGAACATTGTAAATTTTGCAATATTTCCTTTTTTCACCTAATCCATTTTTATACATTTTCGTAATTCGTAAAATTTCATATTTTAAAACAATTCTGAATTAAATGTAATTAAATCGAACTGTTCCAATTAAATTACAATTAAATTTACAGCATGTTCACGAGGCTTATGTCCACCACGTATGGTATGCTACATGGGACGTTGCACAAGTTCAAGCTTTTTTGGAAAATGATCGAAATATGATATGAAAATCGATTAGTTGTAAATATTATCATTTCAACAATAATAATAATTTCAATCCTTATATTATTAATGAATTTCATTTCGTACTGTTGATATTGTTAGCTTCAACAACAAAACGTGCATAGAGCCTCAAAATTAAACTAATTAATATTGCAATTAAGGTAATACGAATGGAAGAAGAGCATATGCTAATAAATATTTATTAGTGAAAAATTCTGTTTGCTAATATTGTTCAACTTGAAATTTGATTAAAATAAAAGCATAGAATAAAAAAATTGATGAATTATTTCAGAATCCACAAATATTCCCTATCATTATATTTCGGAAGCGAATTTGAATAAGAATATTCAGCGTTCTGTGGTACTTCCGTAGATGAAACTTTTGATTTCGATGATTTTTGTGTATATGTTTCAGGAGAAAAAGCCGGACTACGTAATGGAACAACTCCTGAAATGAGAAAAAAAGTTTGACGTTTAAATTGTTGTCATTTTTCTGAAACCTTACTATCAAATATCAAAACCTGGAACATGCATTTGGAATGAATGAACAAAAGCAAACCTGGACAATGAGAGCAGCTACCAATTAATCCAGGTTCACCTGGTAATCCTGGTGGACCTGGTGGTCCAGGATCTCCTGAACTTCCTCTCTCTCCTACTGAACCTCGTATACCTTGATTCCCGGTTTGACCTGCTTTTCCATCATGCCCTGAAAAATTGACTTTACATAGAAAATCATAATTCTTGGTTAATGTAATACGGTTGGCTCAGATAAAGAACAGGATATCACATTCATATACTCAAATTAAAATGCAGATACTCAAAATAAAAAAAATTTTTCTATTACCTTTGCTACCGGGTGCACCGCGTGGTCCAATACTTCCAGGTGGACCTGCTGGTCCAGGTGGTGCTCCATTTAATACTCTACCACGATCACCCTGTGGTCCTTTTGGTCCAGGAGGTCCTGGTTCTCCGCGAAGTCCTGGTGGTCCTGGTGGTCCAGGTCGACTTGGTTCTCCAGTTTTTCCTACCTTGCCTGGTGATCCAGGTTTGCCACGTTTTCCCTTTGGTCCAGGTAGACCAGGTGGTCCAGGCGGACCTGGAGGACACTGGAATTTTATTTGATTGTAACCAGTTGTATAAATTATTTCAAAATATTCTACTAAAATATGCCGATGCAAAATTTCCCTAATTAATACATCAATGTTAAATTTACTGGAATAAATTAAGCAGAAATGTAAAAACCAGACTTTTTGACAACTATTTGAGCCTAATGGTGGTGCAGGAAGATATACACCTTCGCGTCCATTGGCTCCATCTTTACCTGGTCCACCTGCTTTTCCTGTAAGTTCAATTATAATGAAGTAAAATTCAATTTCATCCTCTTAACACAAATTAGTAAAAAATTTTAGCGAAAATATTTCTCCTTCTTAGTGTTTCTGCAATATTTTATTATTTCAGCAAATACTTAAATCTAAAATTTTAAAGTGATAATATATCTAAAATCTTATTGATTATGATAAATACCCGGTATGCCATCTTTTCCGGGTAATCCTCGAGGTCCTGGTAATCCTTGTGAACAAGCACAACATGCACCACTTGGGAAATTACCACTAAACGGCAAGTTATAACCGTCAGAACGAGCTTTTCGAACTTTATTTTCAACCAAAGCAATTTGTTTCCAAATATCTCCCGATTGAGCCTTAAATTATATAATTTGTTGGTATAATAAATTTTCAAAATTTCGGTAAGAAAAAAAATTTATGAAAAATTAAAATTATTAAATTTAACGATTGCTTCTTTGTCAACAATTCATTAATAAAACAAATTACTTCCAACGGTTATTTTTTTGATAAAATAAAAAGCATACAAAATATTCGATAAAATATTTTCAACCTTTACCGCAAACTGTCACTTCAATCAATCACTGATAACATAATTATTTTATTTTTATCTTTCATATTTCTCGTTATCATTTGATAATCTTTTTATCTTTAATCTTTTTCTATTTTAATTATAACGAGCTCTTTTTCTCTTTTTTTCACTTTCATTCTTTCTTACCAATATATACCGAATATATCTGCATATTTTCGCAATCTCTAACAAAGTATAGGTTATCATAATTTGAGCAATTTCTGCTAACTCTCAAAATACAACACTATTTTCTATATCAAACTTTGGATTACTCAATTTTTATAGCACACAAAACAGTAATTAATTTCAAACAAAATTTTTCGAATTGGAATGTATACATTCTATTTATATAATATTAACCATAAAATTTTTTTAATCAACTTACCTTATTGTTTAATTAATTAAATAAAAATATAACACATTGCTTAATTAATTAAATAAAAAAACTCATTGTTTTTTCTCAATTTTCCTCATTGTTTAATTAATGAAATAAAAAAAAATAGGAAGATATAATGCCACACACCTTACATAATTCAATCTGTGAAAGCATGGATGATATTATTTCCTGACTATGAAAATGCATCATTGGTAATAACACTGCAACACTTAAGAAGCAGATCGCTGAACAAGCTGTCGCTATCACCGTTGCTTTCCGAGTTGCAAATATACTCATCCGGAAGTAGTAACGAAGTAAAAGCTTACGCAAATTAACAATTAAAAAATTCAACAAATTCACAAATTTCACTTCTATAACAATAATTAAGATAACAAGCAAAAATTTTATTTGCAGTAATTAATAAATTGGTGAAGCATTTGTTTTCTAATTTAAATAAAAATTAATACCAAATTAATAACAATTACTACAATTAGTTTTCATATAATTTACCATATATGTTATGTATCAACTTTTGATTATTATATAAATAAATAAAAGTTTGAAAAAATGTTTTTCCATTTTTTGTTTCCGTGAAATTAACATAAATTATTTCTGCTTTGATTAATTATTAGATTAATAATTCTGCTAATGGAACTATTCGTGGAAGCCTACAAAATTTCATTTACAACAAAGCAAAGTATTTTTACTTATCGAAATTCACAATACTATAAGTATCTATGAGGATATTGCAACAATTATATTAAATGTTTCCGTTCTTCTTTTCCGCAATTTTATCAAATGTAACCGAACCGGAATGAATCAAAAAATTATGATTACATGAAATTTACGATGTTACATTAAATATGTTAAATTACATATTATCTATAATATATTATATATTTTATAATTATATATTATTTCATATATTATTTTATAGTTTATATACTTCATATTATGCATATACATTTATATCTTACATATATATCTTACATATTTTATACTATTTTAAATGATTTCAAAATAAACAAATGAAGTAAATAAAGAAATGAAATGATTGAAAATGATCGGAAATAGCTTTGATCCGATTGGTACAACGGAAAAAAACGAAAATTGATGTCAACAACCTTTATTTGATCGTTAAAATTTTGTTAATCGTTGATTACAATTTTTTATCCTTTTTTTTATGTTATTCCTGACATCTAATTTCCCTAATTGGCAATATAAAATGACAACGAATCATTAATTAAACTATTTTTTAAGGTAATTATTTCTGTATGATATTGATCCGGTAAACAAGAAGTGAAAAGCTAACGATAATTCCGAAAGCTCTAAAGTTACATATATCGTAATATAAATTTAAAATAAAAATCATAGTTAATATAAATGAGAAATTATTTGAAAATATTCATGATGCTAACAATAACGGTAGCCGTAGTTCAGCAATAATTTGCTGAAAACAATTTACAACACCTGCTGTTCGATCAATCAATTCATTTGTTTATTTCTACTGGATTAGATTATTAACAAAATTATCAATTGAAATTAATCAAATTAATTATGATAATCGTTAATTAAGAACGAATAATAGTATAATGCGAAATAGTTCTTAATTTCTTTCATCTTTTTCGTTTTATCAATTTTTGAATTAACAATTTATCATAAGCTTTTGAAAATAGCAATTTAAATATGTGATAAGGAAAAGAATTTTTGATCATAATATTTGGCAGAATAGGGATACAATCACTGTATCAAACAATCAAATATTTATTTAAATAATGTATAAAAATGAAGTAATTATATTTTTGCTAGTAATTATATTAATAAAGCTATTCAGTAATAATGCGATTGTATTCGTATTATTGTTTTATTATTGAATACCTTCATTAATACAATTTTTTTTAATAACACGATATAGTTGTAATAATAACTTTAATTAAACAAAAGCAACAACTTTAATTAATTTTAATTAAACAAAATTTTAGTTGAAAAATAACCTTAATTAAACAAAACGATATAGTTGTAATCATAACTTTAATTAAACAAAACAATTTATTACATTTCACCAATTTGAAAATATGCACAATTTTCCTTAAGTATATAAGAAATAAGCGTCACTGTTGGTAGTTGTTCATCAGAAGAACTTTCAAAACGTCGAAAATTTCTGTCATACTCATTTGATGTGACAATTCCGTCTTTTATCAATTTTTCCATGACCTAAATTGATTCTTTTAAAAATTAAAGCGTTAATTTTAATACTCAAAAATTGGAACTATGAAATGTTGGACAAATAGTGATTACACCTCGCAGATTACACTAATTTATGATTAATTGAATAACTGAGAATCATTAAGGTAAGTTGAAGAAATTAATTGCACAGCACTGAGAGCTATATTAGCGAATAAATTTGAAATAGATAATTAAAAGAATAATTACTATCACCTGCATGAATTTTGCACATATACAATTTTAATTTACAACAAACATTTGGCTTTATAAATGATAGGAATTTGAAATTCATAAAATTTGCATACCTTTTTTAGCAATTCCCTACTTATTACCAATTCTCCAACTGCGGCAATTAAATGATTTGTGAAAATTTTTGGATTATTATCCATTTGATCACGATTTTCTGCCAGCCAATCGAACGCTTCCTGGAAAAAAATAAACTTATTACATTTAAATTACATTCACAAAATGAATGCTTAATATATAATCTTAATATATAATCTATAATCTAATATATAAATATATATATATAATCTATAATCTAATATAATATATAATCTACGATCTTAATATATAATCTATAATCTAATTTACGACTATTAAATATTTTCTAGAAGCACTGATAAAAAAATACGAAAACTTCTTGTAATTATAGTCATAGAGCAAAATGATTTGAAATTGTGATATTATAATGAATAATAGTTTAACTCAATAAAAAGTATAAGTATAACCGTTGTTATCCTAAATTGGATAGAATTGAAAACGAAGTTTCGGGAATTTATCTTCTCTCGTAGTACAAATTACAACGATAATATAAACATACCCTACTTCGTTGTTCAATATTGATACGCTCCATCACTGAACCAATTCGAAGAATTTCATCAATATTCACCCTTACCTTACTATTTCGTGATTTAGGTACAACCATCTCTCTGGTAATTATCTAAATATGTAAATATTATATAAAGCTAAAACAAGGAACAAATAAAAAGATAGAGATAAAGCTTATGATTTATCACGGAAATCAACGCCATAAAATACAACCGTATCAGTGATCCATAAAATTATCAATGAATGAAATACAAATACTCTTATATTAATTACCTTCTAAGTTACAACAAAATTAGCTATAGGAAAATTAATAGCTATTAAACGAAGAAATAAAAATTAAATTAAAGTATTAATAATTTAAAATAGACATTGCAAAATACTACATATTTTCACCATTTGTTTAATAGAAAATTTAATCCGAAATTTTGTCTAAAACTGTTTCAGATAGCTGACTAAATTAGTTTATCATTTTATATTGTTTTAAGATTAAAATAGTTTTGAAAAAAGCTGAAGAAATGTTTAAAATATAAATAATATCATGAAGAGTACACTCGAACCAGAATGATTAAATTAATGCCAACTAAAAATTACATCAAATTGTCGGCATGAATCAAAAATTGTTAATTTTTTTAATTACGTTTTTTATTATTATAATAATTTTTTGATTATAATATTTAGATTTAAAGAATTGTAATTTTTTTATTATAATATTATTTAAATTATATTTTATTATAATATATGAAACATATGTTATTTCAATGATATTTATTTCTAATGCACAACATTAAAAATTCATCACATTGATAGATGATTGGCGTATAAGTTGGTTTATAATAAAATTGAGACCAAAGGTAAATGGAAGCTTAGCTGGCTAGTAATTTGATCAAATGTTAACATGTAAATGATAAGTAGCACTGCTATTCCTTTCATTTGAATCTTATCGATACGATGCGCTCTTACCACACATCTTTTAAAAGGTTTAATTTAAAATAAATTTTTAATAACATTTTGAAGTATGATTTAATATAATGATTATTCCTCCATCAAATAGATGACTTCATTATATTTGTTAAGCTATCCAATTTAAAGAAAGAAATGAAAAACTAAATGAAATGATTAAGGGTAATTAAATAGAGTGATAAGATTTGAAAACGAATGGTGCTATGATATAATAAGATAATGAAATAAAAATTGTATTTATATGGATATAGCAGTTATTTAGAATTTGAAATTTTTAGCTTGGTACAAGATATGCTTAATATTGGGACAAATTGTCATCATCTAAATTTGCATATTTCTCTCATGTCAACAAACTCCGTTCAAATTAAATGTTAATTTTTGCATTTCATTGAATGATTGATTTTTGATTCTTTCTTTGTCGGTTTTTCTATTCGATCAGTTAAATATTGAGGGTTGTTTTCAGGTCAAACGAATGGTAAGGAATTTCCCTTCAAACGAAGTTCTCTTTATCATTAAAAGAAAGGAAGAAGAGAATGTTAAAGGTTATTTTTTCTCAATTTATAATTAAACTGTTTCTAACATAATTCTAAATTCAATTTAGTTTGAATATAACCATAAATATATGTCAGGTCTGATAAATTAACCTTGTATGTGAATTCATATGTCAGCTTGTTGTTTTTTACACAATTTCAAATCACTACTCTCTTATCAGTATCAGACCCACGTTTTACCACGGACGGAATAGTAGTGATGATAAAATTGTAGTATATGTATAATATAGCGAATTAACATTCCCTTAATTATATGCTAATAAGTCGTCATTTTGCTTTATAAGAAATTCGATAATTTAGATTACTTACAACAATTGCAACATTTATTTGTAAATTGTTAAATATCGATTGAAAAGTCTCAATGATCTAAACTTCTAAAATCTTTTATGGATATTAAGAAAGGATAAATTTATTTCATACGTAGAAATAAAATTAACAATATTTGCTGTAATGATTTATCACATTGTCCTGAAAAAGATTTATTTAACAGTTTAATCACATTATTCATCAATTTTTCCAACTTTTGTTTCTTTCCTGAAAATATGCAAGCAGAAATTGCTTTTTTTTTTTAAATCATTTTATTACTATATTCATATAATTGGAATTACTGCAATTTTGAAATTTCCTTATGGTAAATATCATTTGTGACTAATTAATTCATTCCATCTTTGCTTACTGTTCAGCACATTTTGATTGTTTTGCATTTATTTATTTCAATATACAAACTTTAATCTATATCATTACCACAAATTGTATCATTTGTGCGACATTTTGTGCATATATTTATTGATTAATAGATTTAGCTAGAACCCCGGGAAATTTATTGATAAGTTTAATTAGAGTAACTCCAACATTTCTTTTAGCTGCCCATTTTGCTGTTCTCGCAATTCAACATCAAATATGCAATTTAGTAATCTAAACAATAGTTCGAAACATTTAAAAGATGGTATCACTTTCAAAATAACTTTGCTAATTTAGTATACCATTCCGATTAGAATATTCATATAAACAAACAGTACAATGTGTAGTTTTCGAAAATTAGACGATGGAAAGTTCAAAAAAAAAGTAGATATTGATAACTTGATCAATTAAAATATTCTTGTATTAATTCGTGTATTAATACAAATGATCTCATATCTATTGTCTCTTCAGATGTCATAATAAGCAAAAGGTGAGTGACATAATCATTAGGCTAACTGGCAAAATAATAATGATTCATTGTCGACACATATATGCAATTACGTTTTTAATTATCAAATGGATTGATTACTAGGAAAACGAATCATATGCATGAAATATCATCCATTTAATTATTATGTGAAGCAAAATTAATTTAAAAAAGAAAAGGAAGAAAGGCAATAATAAGAATTAAAACAATATTTGCAATAATGAAAATTATATCTCGAGCATAATTAATAACTGTTGCTACTATTATATCAAAAACACATAACTGTTGAAATATATGCTAGTCATTTCAAGTGACAATTTCTTAGCAAATAAATCCATTTTCATCCACAAAGCTATGTTGTATTCAATATGTAAACAAACAATGATATGCAGTTTTAGGAGATCAAATGTAGCGGTTGACATGGTGCTCCATTTATTATATAAAATTCCAAAATGAAAACAAAGGAAGTGCTAGATTAATGAAAATCGCGTAAATTGAGAACTATTGCATTATTCACTATTTAATCCCAATTTCGAATAAAATTAATTAACTTCGTTTTCTAATCTACTCTAATAATTTTGTCTCTTCAACTTTTGAATTTCATTCTCCCTGTTATCATGTTAGCCAACTTCATTGTTTGAATCATTGAACACAATAAAATTCTTTCTCAAAATAATGTAAGCAGTTTCGGATGTCGGATGATTCGAACAGCAATAATGCTTCCACAATTATAGCAATAATTAACTCTTAAATTTCAAGTATTTCAAATAAATAAAATCGCAATATCTTCTCGAAATTTTACGAAAGCACCAACTGACTAAATATAAACGAACTATGGTAAAAAATTAAAAATTGAGATTTGACGAATTTTCGGAATTTCCACACCTTTTAATGACTAAACTATAAATTGATAACGAACAATAATTAACGAAAAATAAGTTGTCAAACCAATCTATCGTTTCTATCAGAAATCCGAAAGAAAACTATCAGGCAACAACTTTTGTATTAAAGAGATAAAACCTAAAACGGAAACAAGTAGTAGAACTTCTCACATACTCGACAACCTTACCACAAAATATTAAACTTGAAATGGAATCCACTAATTACAACCCTCACATATCCTTTTTTAAAAATATCTTGGATAGAGAGCTGTTCTGTAGAAATAGGTCTTGTAACAAGTACCGTATTCAATAATGTCTGAATTTCAACGCCTATAACAATTGCTTTGCTAAAAAATCATTATCAATTTAGCACATAGCCAGTTTTCTGTAAATTTTACGGTTTAGATTTTCCGCATGTGTAGGAGCTATAAAGTACTTTGAATTCATTTCATGTTGTACACGTAACGTATCAGAAGGGCTGTGTAAGTTACGTGAGATAAATAAATGAATTACGTGGAACTAATATGTAGTACATCTTCCTGTTCTGTTTTGTTTAATTCTTATACGATGTAGGTCGTTTTATAACGTACATCAAAGTAAATGATTATTTACATATTTATATCAATAGTTATCACGATGAGCTTTACTAGTTGCGCAAAAATTCGAAATAATTATTTTGCGAATTGAAGATCAAAAGCAAGGTATCGTTTTGTTGCAATAACTGATTATGATTTTAATTTCATAACTTTTATTTCCACTTGTTTTTTTTCGGAAGTACAATTTTAGTGATATTGTTGTTTGCATTGTTTTTATCTTTTCGAGCCTTACTACATATTCATTTTTATGACTGATTACTGTGACAATTATTTACGACATCCTGAGTAAAGTTTAAGATGCTAGAGTGTTAAACTTTTCTCTTTTGAAACGCTTAAACTAACAACTCCAAATTTAATTTGGGGTTCTGATCTTTAGTGAGTGATTATAGTAAGATGAATCAAATTTAGCCAGAACTTCGAAAGTTTGCTTACAATAGCTTATGGAAAAATTTTAATTCTTCTTTCGGCTCCGTATGGTTTAGTTTTTTGTCTTCTTTTTATTTTGCATTAGCTTTGAATAGTTCATCAAATGGTAAGTACTTTTTATAACTTTTTAGATAAGTCACTGAAATATGTAATTTACAGGTGAACGAAAAAAGGAAGAACAGGCCAATAAACATTTGCAAAACGGTAACAGTGCCGCTGTGCCATGTGTTCATTGTTTCATACGACAAGGAATACTGATCAGTTATGACAAATAGTATCAGTGACTATCCTTTGTGCAGTAGTCAGTATCCAGCTGGCAATGTGGTTTGCTTATTTCGAAGTTTACGAAAATATATGAAGACTGCTTTGTTTTCATTTACTGAGCATTCGAAAACATTATCATGATGCGCGTTTACCATCCTTTACTCTCGTCTTTTTGCTCTAAGAAATTTTGATATCATATTCAATGCGAAGTGAAAGTGAAATGAAAGTAAAATCATGTTTAATTCAAAATAGTGGTAGCGAAAATAATCATATCAAGTAAATCAGTGGAAGCTGAAATTGGAAGAGATTTTAATGTGATTTGCCAACAGAGCACGTTTTAGGACGAATTTCATCCTTTTGTGGAAGCGTTATTGCCGTATGTGAAAGAATTCAGTTACGTATGGTTTAATTTACAAGCTGCGAAGCGAAGATATATGAAAAGAAACGAAAAGCGAATGACAGTCGACGAAGAGAAAAGTTGTAAAGACGCATTAATGGCAAGTTTTTCGTTAATTTCGGAAGTTTTGCATAGAATTTTCCTAAATTTAAACATCATCGAAACTGTGAGATGTGAATTAAAGCATATACTGAACATAAATATTCTAATGAAACTTTCCGATTTTGAAGATTCTCAAACCACCCGCATTTATTAGATGTTGTGGATACTGCGAATCATTGTAGTTTTAGCTCGACTGTTTGATGTCATTACAGTGCAGAAAGGAAGCGCGTGATCGTATTATTGAGACACTGAGGAAATATGAGGAAAATTGAGTTTATTTGGAATAGCTTTGCATTTTATTTAATTAGGGAAGGTTCCTTCCTTTTTTTTTCAAGCTTTTAATTTACAGAATGAGCGGGTGGAAATAAAGCAGAAATGGGCAGGACGATTGCTTGGCAAACTAAGGAAAGATATACAACCTCATTGCCGAGAAGATTTTGTCCTTTGTGTCACAGGACAGAGACCAGCAGTATGCATACTATCTAATCCAGATCAAAAGGGAAAGATGCGACGAATCGACTGCCTACGACAGGCGGACAAAGTGTGGCGTCTTGATCTGGTGATGGTCATTTTATTCAAGGTATGGAAAGAGTAAATCGGTTTTGGTGATATTTTTCTTTATTTCGAGGGGTCAATTACGAACTTATGCACAAGAATTTCGATACTTTCAGCCCGAAATCTTCCAATCTAATTCACTTTATGCAGGCTAATCTAGTTTTGGATTATTTGAAATTTTTAGACCGTCTGCAATTATGAAATATAGTAATAGGTATTCGGCATAAACTTTTCCAATTCCAGGGGATTCCTTTGGAAAGTACGGATGGTGAGCGTTTGGAAAAATGTTCCGAATGTACATTTCCAAGTTTATGTGTAAATCCTTATCATATTAGTATAGCTGTGCGCGAATTAGATTTGTTTCTGGCGAATTTTATACACACAACGAATCCAGATGCTGCTGAGGAGGAGAGTGATGAAAAAGGTTTTGATGTTTCCATTTTAAAAAGAATATTATTTTGAAGAGCTGTTTTTGCTTCTTTTTGAAATCAGTCATCAAAACATTGTGAACAGTCATACCTCTAAATCTTTATATCTCCACTGGATTAAATTATAATTGAACATATTTTATTTAATATTTTATTTAGTATCACAGCATATGTTCGCTATTTAATTTCAGAAAAAAATTCAATACCAAAATTTTCAAGATGCAGGTTAATAAGTGATTATAATTCGATCATAATATCGTGTCATTCATCAGTTTAAAGTTCACTGTCATTTACAGATCCTGACAAATTGGCAGTGCATGAAGGTATTTGGGGAACTGGTGTGTTTACTGCTTATGAATTGAAGACCCTGACAAGACGTACGTTTTTTTGATTATTGTTGTCTTGCCTTCATTAAATTATCCTTTTCGCCCTTTCCCTGTTTCATTTGTATAAATTTACTAGCTGCAGTATAGTAGGTTACTGTCATTTACTACCGTTTTGTTTTTTCTTGTTTTTCGGGATAAAGTAAAAAAGAAAACTTGCTTTATTCACTTCTATTGACCGAATTAGAAAATTTAGTTTACCGTTCTTTTTGCTCATTATGGAAGAAAGCGCCCAACAAATCATCAGTTACCTAGTTCACATTGCTTTTGCTTCATCCCTGCTTTTGAGTGTTTTTCATCAGCACCCTTTTTATAAATGTTCGCTTCTCGCTTTATTCCTTTACTTTGTGCTTATTTTCGCCATCGGATCGGTTGATCACAGCGAAATTACAGCTTTACGGTTACTTAGATCGTAGTTGAACTATTTTCCGTTCATTGCATTTTATGTATTTTGTTGTGGATGGTATACTTCTAATGATTTCATGATTCTTTTAGATGCATGAATTAAAACCTATGATTTCGCATAGGGTTTTGCAGTTTTCTAGAGATGAAAAGCATGTATGTGTTTCTTTCAGGTCAGCAGTAGCTTCACATATTGTTATTCCTCAAAGTTTTGCTAAACAAAATTTGATGCTCACATTCAAAAACATTAGTTGCATGGTTTTAATAGTTAGCATGCTCAGAAATGGTATTATTGATTATTTTATCTGTTTAAAATTTCTTTCCAGATCGTGCATTCGCAATAGCACAGTCTGTTTATCATCATTTTACTTCCGTATTTCTTCAAACTGGACTTGCAAATAAGAAATAAATAATTGCTCAATGTTTACAGCTTCAATAATAACACTGGTTGAAGGCGAAGCACGTATACCAGCAGAAATTATCCCACAAAAAGAAGAACCGTATAATGATTTGGAATGGCAATCATCTAGCAGCCCACCGCCGTCATCATCATCACGACGACACGGTGCTCCTACTTCTGCTCCAACTATAGCGGCGGATTATCGAGTATCTGACAGTCATGATGTCATTGAAAGCAGTGGTAATTAAATTTTTGTCTCTTTGCTGTTAGAGCCTTCCGCATTGCTCAATGCAGATACGTTCAAAAATCGCGTCACCGTCCAAAATATGTTTATTTTTCAAAATGGCTTAGCGAATGGATAAGATGTGGTTAAAATAATCTAAGGGTAAAATATTAGGACGGGAAAATGTAATTTTTTCAAGTATAACTGTGTTTGAATATTAGAGCTGTTATCGAACAGCCATTTAGTAACAATATGACATGAACAGAAACGTAACTGGATCATTGTTCTCGAAAATAAAGCCACAATTCACCAATTTAGCGATCAGCTTATCAGAGTTGTTACTTCTTGAGTAACTAATTTTTTTGTTGATCAAAATATGTAAATTTTAGTAGTTCTCTTTAGATACCAGGATACGAGGCAGTAATTTGAGTGGATCAGGTGGAACACCTCAGGTGGGAGCAATGGTAACAATCGCTGATGCGCTAGATGCAGACTTGGCGCATCCAGACTTTGAGCATCCGAATCTCTTAGCTGATGATGTACTTTTCCTTCTCATTTTTTAATTTTTTTTATTCTGAATTTATCCATTTTATACCAATCAGGCAAATAGCAAATGCTTTTCTGACTACATTTAATTTTAGATTTTATGCAGGTAGAAAATATCTGA